AGAAATAGGAAATAATGCGATCAGTGAATTAGAAATCAAATACAAATTATCTTCAAAAAGTAGATTAATATTCATAAAGTGTGATGTTACCAATGAAATCGAATTCGAAGGTAAATAATCATATCTATAAATTGGGTATGTAGTTTAAACATAACAAATTACAATTTATACAAAATTCAGAACATTTTCACATTTAAAATTTTTTTATATACATTTTTTTAGATTCTTTTAAGAAAACTATTGAGCGATTTGGAAAAATAAACATTGTTGTCAATAATGCTGGTATCATGACCAAGTATATGACTTCTTGGGAGCTAGCCATCGATTTAAATTACGTAAGTAACCAAGTAAAAAGTTATGTATACATAAATCGTACACCAGTAATATTTTTTTATTGCCATGAGCTTTTTTATTTAGTTCAATAAGCAGTTATATTATTATTGAGGATAATCGAGAAACATAACAGAAAAAATTCTAATATTTTGTTATTTTGTACACAAGAATCTATTCAAAGTATTAATTAAATGTTTTTATACCTACGCATTATAGAAAGCAGTAGTTCGAGGTACCATGCTAGGTCTTAAATACATTGAAAACAAAGAAGACAAAAAGTCTGCAGTCATTAATGTAGCGTCAATAGTTGGACTATCCAACACCGTCTTGCCCATGTACCAATCGACCAAAAGAGCTGTTATCGAATTCACAAAATCTATTGGAGTGAGTATACCGTGAATATTTTGATGACAGGAATATGAACATGTATTAAATATTCTTATGTTAAGACTTATGAGTATAGGAGCTCTTATTTTAATTTTTTTATATAAATTATAATATTAGCCAAATTTTTGTATGTTTCAAGTGTCCGTTTAATTCGAAGGCGACCGGAAATAAAATAAGAGTCATGGCCATTTGTCCTGGCGGTACGTTTGACGGATTTGAAAACAACATTGAAGGGAAAAACGCATTACAGCAAGAAATTAAGGACTTGATTACGAGTGGTGAAGAAACCCCTAATCCAAATAGAATTCTAATACTACAGAGGTAATTCATCTGATCACATGATTATGTTAGTGTGTTATTCGTAGTAGATACCTACTAAAAAAAAACTTTAAAAAAAAGTTAAAACATTTGAAAATTTGTATTACAGCACTGATTACTATAAAGCTGCATTTCTTCACGTTATGAAAAACGGCAAAAATGGAGACGTTTGGATAACCGAAAATGAAGAGCCTCCGAGACGTACACATTTCTCCACTCAATACTAATTATTACTCCTAATTGAATTTTAATTTTCCAAACACCTACTAATGATCATGATAAAATAATTAATTGAAACATTAAGGCTCCAGGTGTCAATGTTATTTTTTCCACAAAAATAAAGTCTATACGGGAATGTTAATCATAAGTTCAGTAAAATCAACCAAGTTTGATTATTTTTTTTTTAACTCATAGAAGACAATATTCTACAGGCTGCTTTGAACTTCGTTTTTTAATATTTTAATCTCAAACTTTATAATTTGTCTTCAAAAATAATACAATTTTAAGATTTTATTCATAAAATAAATATTATAAGATTATTTGAATTAAAATAAAAAATTTGAGTTCAATAGAGGCTTGTACGATATCCTTTGTCTTACATTAATGTTATTAAAAAAGATAACAATTTTAATTCTTTGCAACATAATATGGCTGAAATAAGTATGTTAGAATTGAGACACTCAGTAAATTTGAAATTAAGATCATTGATAGTCTCAAGATAAAAGGGAGCCAGTTATTGTTAAAAATACATAAACACAATTATATACATTTAAAGTTGACATTTTGACAAAATTCATCAAAATCCCAAAAATGTAATAAAAGATCC